GCCACCACGCCCGGCTAGGACCCTGTTTTTAACAAGAACAATAATGCAAAACAACAAACAACAAATCCACAAAAACTTTCTTTTAAAAAACATGTCTGCATGATATACTTTTCCTTTCTGTTACATGAGACCAGGCATTCAAGGTGATATGGCCACAGAGCATATCACTATTAGAAAACTCCCAACATGTCAGTAACTACATTAGCCAGTCTCTTACTTACATAGTCTCCCTCATTTGTCAAAACCGCTCTAGGAGCTAGAGAGCTGGCTCAGCAGTTAAGGCACTAGCTGCTCTTGAAGAGTACTAGGGTTTAGTTCCCAGCACCCACATGGCGGCTATCATCCCTAACTCCAGTTTCAAGAGACTCACATGCGTTCTACTGGCCTGCATTGCATGCACGGGTGCACTAACATTCATTAGGCAAAACATTCATACACATAAAATTAAAAATCAGTTTAAGGCCAGGCCTGGTGGCGCACGCCTTTAATCCCAGCACTCGGGAGGCAGAGGCAGGCAAATCTCTGTGAAATCAAGACCAGCTGGTCTACACAGCAAGTCCCAGGCCAGCTGGGGCTACAAGGAGATTCTGCCTCAAAAAGACCATTTTTTTTTTTTTTAAACCTATCTAGGGGTTGGAGAAATGGCTCAGCAGTTAAGAACACTGTTTTTCCAGAAGACCCGGGTTCGAATCCCAGCACCCACATGGCAGCTAACAACTGTCCGTAACTCCAGTTCCAGGGGATCCAACAGCCTTTTCTGTCCTCCGTGGGCATTGAACGACACGGTACACTTACCTACATGCAGGCGTAACACTCATACACATAAAATAAATAAATATTAAAAAAAAAAAAAAACAACCAAAATCTATCTAAGAGCCAGGCATGGTGGTGCACACCTTTAGTCCCAGTAGAGGCAGAGGCAGGTGGATCTCTTTGAGTTCAAGGCCAGCCTGGTCTACATAGTGAGCTCTAGGCCAGCTGAGGCTACAGGGAGATCCTGTCTCAAAAAAGTCCAAGAACAATTCCAGGCCAGCTGGGCCTACAGGGAGACCCTGTCTCAAAAAGACCGAAAAAAAAAAAAAAAGTGAAGAACTCTTGACCAAGAGTTAAGCAGTATCAAGAGCAAACCCCAAAGGAACAAAGCCAAGGTTCACACACAGCAAGGCTTGTGTGGCGCTCTCTGTGCTTTCTCCCCTACTTAATCTAAGACTCTCTACCAAAACAGACCATGAAGAAATGCAGAATGGAACTGCATCCCACTCAGTCTTCTGTCACAATTCTTCATTACTGCCTCAGCTAGAAAAGAAAAACCAGCACTGAACTGTGCAAAGATTTTTACTACCTCTATTGCCACTGGAGTTTTATCGCTTTTTCTTTTAGACAGTCTCACTGTGCAGCTCTGGCTGGCCTGGAATTCACAAAACAGACCGAGCTGGCCTTAAACTCAGTGATCAGCCTACCTCTGCCTCAGCACTGGGACTAAAGGTGTGTGCCATAAGCTTATCAAAGCATTTTAATTCTTACTGTCATCTACTTAAGTCTTGGTTCATTGCCTGTACTTAGCTGACCATATGTAAATACTCAAAATTCCTAGAGTTTGATATTTTGCTAGAAAGTAAACATCTAAAACTCTGGGCTGGAGAGATAGCTCAGTGGATAAGAACACTGGCTGTTCTTGCAGAAGACCCGGGTTTGAGCCCCAGCACCCACATGGCAGCTAACAACTGTCCAAAACTCCAGTTCCAGGGGATCCAATGGCTTCTTCTGTCCTCCATGGGCACTGCATGACACGGGTGCACTTACCTATATGCAGGCAATATATGCATACACATAAATAAAAAATATTTTTTAAAAAATCTAAAACTCTGTGAACATAGATGTACAAAAAGTTCAAATGCTAACCCAGAAAGTTGAAATTTTAACATATGACCAACTGCAATTCACAGTGCTCTATTAAGTAGCTCTAAAATGGAAACTCACCAGAAAATGCAATTTGCTCAGAAGAAATTGGTCAGCAAACACTGAGCACATGACACAGATGCCCAGCAGCCACACACACTGCAGAACAGATGAGCCGTCACTCCAGCACACTCAAGACTCAAGCAAATTGCACAGCACCCAGGAATGACAATCTGGACTCTAGGCCGTCACAGACACATGTCATCAATGGCTAGACTAAATCATCTGTCAACAGAAGCTTGCAGCTTCACCCTCTCCGGTCTCACACAAGCGACCAGACAGTACATACGGACATAAGCAGGGCTGTGTTCCAATGAAACTTTATTATAGACACTAAAATCTGAATTTCATAGGATTTTGATGTATCATGAAATGTTTTTTTTTTTAAAAAACCACTTAGAAACATAAGGACCATTCTTAGCTCACAGGCCACACAAAAAAAGATGGACTAATATGATGAGTGCACAGTCATTTCCTAACCTCTGGTCTAAATTTTCGACATTTATTTGCTGGCATGGAGAGGTAACGTCTATTTTCTTATTAAGTGAGATCAATAATAAACACTTTGCTTAAGGCTTTGTCTAAACTGCTGGTGTATAAATTTTTAAGACAAAATTTTTTAAATGACTTATGTTAAAATTAAATGCTAGAGAAACAAACTGGCCAAGTTTCATTTATTTCTTGACACAACATCTGTACAGCTCACACAGGGCAGGAAGCACATCTTGGCTTAACCACAGCATCAGGTTGCGCTTCCGGTCATAATACAGTAAGGGCAAGGTCTCGGGGAAATGTACATTTATACACTTCATATAAGTTAAGGTGGCTACACTATGACCTAGGCTAGCAAAGGCATGACTTGAATCGAAGTAATTAGACCACTTGTATTTGATCTAATAAAAATGTACCCAATCATTAAAAATGGCCAGGTGGGGAACAGGCCAGTATATAAAATATCTGTCATGTAAAATTTACCCATTTACCTTTTTAAAAAATAATAATATTCAGATTTTAAATCTTTGTTATTGACTTGTCATATGGATATACATTATGGTAGCAAGAAACACATCTGCTGTACTTTAGCAACCTGGTTAATTAAAAAAAAATTTATAAACCAGAACATTTTTGTTAAAACAGCCAAATTAAATCTCTTCTTTATGTTTGTTAAGTTGCTTCCAAGTCACTCCCCTAACCTCAAGAAATCAGTCTGACTCCCACTGAAGTAGTTCATTTGAGCCTGTATTTGTAGCTTCTAAAATGCTGATCCCCAGATCCCCATCTGGTTACACACGGCACCATGAAGACCAGGCTGAGTTTCGGCCAGCTCCAGGAGAGGCTCCTTTCCTGACATTCTCTAAAAATATTCATCTGACCGTCCTCATACCTCCGCAAAGGCAGCGTCATAAACACAGGCAGACTTTGTTCTCATGTGAGCCCATGTCCACAAACTACCTGTTGTAAGCCCTCTCTTTTTTGGACTTCTCTAGAGCTTTGTCCATTGTCTTCTCATTCTCCCCCCGACATTTGGGGCAGTACCACTTGCCCTTTGGTTTATGGTTGAGTCCCACGCACGAGAAGTGGAACCACTCGATGGGGCACTCGTCATTGTCGCAGCCTATCATCTCTCCATAGGAGACCTGATTGCACAGACAGTACGTGGGCTCATTGGGGTCGATGGGAAGGTCTGCGGGGGATGCCTCCCTCTCTGCTTTGGCCTTGGAGCGTTTCTTCTTCTTTGAGGTTTTTGCTTTCTTTTCCTTGGGCGTTCCTGAGGTGATGTCATCATGGTCGTGATTATTCGAAGCATTCTCTCGATTCTCGTTGTTGCGCTGCCTCCGGGACCGCTTGTTATTTGGCTTGTCTGCCTGAGTGATTGTCTCATTCTTGGATTTGTCCTGGCCAGCCTTGCCACTGTTGCCTGTACTATCATTGATCTCCTGGTGTGCCTCAAAGAGCTCCACATGACTGTCCACCTGTCTGGTTCGGTTCTCCACCAGCTCCACCATCTGACTCACGATCTGGATCTTCTCGTCACCCAGCTCTTGGCTGCGGATCAGGGCCCTCTGGATGCAGTGCAGCATCCGCCTCTTCTGGGTGCCATCCGTCTCACGTTTGAACTTCTCATAGTAGTCATCCAACTCCTTCAGGATTTCTACAAAACAAAAACAAAAACAAAACCTGTTATATATCTGAGTTATAAATACTAGTGAAGAGATGTACTAGATAAGCCTTTTATTTAATTCACTCATCTGTAATGATAAAAAAGAAGCAATTGAGACAGGTGTGGGGACGCATGTCTTTAATTCCAGCACTCAAGAGGCAGAGGCAGGTGGATCTCTGTGAGATGGGGGTCAGTCTGGTCTAGATAGTGAGTTCCAGGCCAGCTGGGGCTACGGGGAGACCCTGTCTCCCCAAAACAAAACAAAAACAAAACAACAACAACAAAAAAAAACTAACTGCAAAGAACAGAAACAATCAAGGCAAAGTTTACTGGTGTAAAACTTACCACCTATAGGCTGGCTAGTCTTTTAAATGTTGGGGGGGGGGAATCTTTGGAACTAAATACAAATGCTAACATGGATCCCATTTGGTAAAGTGCCCCATGAATACTGTGCATAGCTCAGAAGCAGTGAGTGAAAAGTTCAAATTTAGATATGCTTTTATTTCTATAATTTTTATTCAAATATCTTTGTAATAATTTAAAGGCCTTCGTTCTGTATTTCTCTTGGTGTGTGTGTATATGTGTTCTTATGTGTGCATGTATGAAGGTGCCTGCACACTGTAGAGGCTACAAGTGAGCTTCAATGTCTTCCTTTCCAGCTCACACCTCAGTAGACAGGGTCTCTCCTGAACCTAGAGCAGTGAGCACCAGGGATCCTCAGTCTCCACCTCCCTCCCCAGAGCTACGATTACAAGCACTTTTTACCTGCATTCTGGGCCCAAAATCAGGTTCTCACGTACTTTACTGTCTGAGCCTACTCCATTTTAGCATATGAACATCTAGAACGCTCTATGGAGAATGTGGGTAGATTTAGATAATGACTCCCAAAGGTTTAAAGAATGGGGTTATGACAGTTGCCCTCAAGATCATTCTAGCCTGCTCTGAATTCCTGAAAACATGAATGCTTTTGGACACAGTAAACCAAACTAGCCTTGCTTGTTATTTGGCAGATTTTGCTTTACTTGCTTGTTAAGTGACAAATTTTACTTTACCACCAACAATACTTATTTTTTTGGTCTTTTTGAGATAGGGTCTCCCTGTAGCCCCAGCTGGCCTGGAACTCACTATGTAGACCAAGCTGGCCTGGAACTCACAGAGCTCCACCTGCCTCTGCCTCCCAAGTGCTGGGATTAAAGGTGTGCACCAACACACCCAACCCAATAATACTTTTATCTACTGCCTACAATAATACTTTTTTCCTGTTTGAGTCAGGGTCTCCCTGTAGCCCCAGCTGGCCAGAACTCACTATGCAGACTAGGATGGCCTCCATCTCACAGAGATCCACCTGCCTCTGTCTCCTGAGTGCTGGGATTAAAGGTGTTCACCACCACACCTGGATCAATAATACCTTTTTGACAACTGTTAAAAGTCAACAGATTTTGTAAAGCAAATAAAAACCTTTAGTACTAAATTTAAGCCTTCTCAGGCAGGTTTTTAAAAAGTGTACATGAAAGTTGGGCATGGTAGCACACGCCTGTAGTCCCAGCACTTAGGAGGCAGAGGCAGGTGGATCTCTGTGAGTTCAAGGCCAGCCTGATCTACATAGTGAGTTCCAGGACAGCTGGGGCCACAGGGAGACACTGCTTCAAAAATACCAAAAAGGAAAAAAAAAAAAGTGTACATGAGCCTGGTTCTAAGGGAAAGGGCAAGTTTGTGTGCTGATATTTTATTCTTCAAAAGGTAGAAGCAACCCTGAAGAAGGCATTGGCTCCTGTGGCTGTGACAGCACCCAGTGAAGTTGAAAACACCTGTGTGGACCACCTTTGATGTTCTCCTTGGTGCAAGGCCACATGGACAGGAATCCTAATGAGCTATCACAGTAGATGATTTCCTATTAAAAATCTTATTTTTTTTTTAAAGGGGCTTGTACAACATCATTTGGCAAATGTAGTTACACAATTTCTCAAAAAAAGTTGTTAAATAATCTAATTAAAATAAAAGAATTAAGCTGGGCACAGTACTGCCACCTCTTAGGATAACTAAATTTGCTGGGTGTGGTGGCAGGCAAATCTCTGTGAGCTCAAGGCCAGCCTGGTCTACAGAGTGATTTCCAGGCCAGCTGGGGCCATAGGGATACCCTGTATCAAAAAAGACCCCCCCCAAAAAAAACTGTATTTGACTCTCTAGGAAGTATGTTTGGAAGGGATGAAAGTCAGAAGGAATGTCTAAAAGATGCCCCTGATCTGTGCAGATCTCAATTCCTGACACTAAACATGGGAACTCGCACCAACACTGAAGCATGTAAACTATTACTAAACAGTAAAAGCTATGTCCAGGGTTTAGAGATACTTGCCAGAGGAACCACATAGACACTACCATCACAAAAGAGGGATACAGAGTCCCAGTCTCTAAGTAATGAACTAGGCAAATCAACTGCTTTAACTTATCACAGGCAAGTTAAAATAAGTATGTGTAGGCTGTATATAGTGTCTTACATCTTTAATCCAGCACTTGGAAGGCAGAGGCAGGAAGATCTCTCTGAGTTCCAGGTAAGCCACATCTACATAGTGAGACTCTGTCTGAAAAACCAAAAAAGAAAAAAAAGTATTTGCACTATTTGTTTTTCAGTAGATTTCAAGTTTCAAAGCTGCACTGATCGGTTTAACCAGTAATCAAGTTTCCTTTGTTTTATTCTGAGACAAGGTCTCATGCAACCCAGGCTAACTTCCACCATGCTATGTTATCAAAGCTGGTTTTGAACTCCTGATCTTCTTGCCTCCACCTCCCAAGTGCTTAGGATTACAAATGTATGCCATCACATATTTCAAATACTGGTATTCTGTAGAAGAGATTAATTCTATCACATTGCTAATTTAAGTTTAATAACATATTCTTTTAGTTTAAATCCAGAAGTTTGTGGGGAAATTTAAATACTCCATCACAAATTCGACCATGAAGTTGTTCTTTAAATGACACAACAGCACAGATTTCTTAGATGCCCTAAGAATTCGACTAATAAAACTACTCAACACCTCCGAAACACAGGAGGCAGTGGGAGGACATTGCTTCAGCTTGTTAGCTTAGCTTGGGCTGCTGCTGACCTGCCAGATCCAGAATGGAGAAAGAATATCATCTAGTCTGCCCAATTATTAAAAACTTTAACTTTATACACACACACATATATATATACACATATATATATGAAAGACTTAACTTCTTTATGTGGCACGTTTTCCGAGGGGTAGTTTTATAACACTTGAAAAACAATTCAAATAACATCAAAGGCCCTTTACAACTTCCAAAGCATAACCCCCGCCCCACCCCCGGCCCCCCGTACAGTCTAAGTGTACTACTAGTTGATTGTCAACCAGCTCGACCTGAGAGCAAGGGTTTGGTCCAGGGTCATACCGACACCCGACCGCGAGAGAAGTCCCAGCACGAATGGACCATGTGGCCCGTAACTCCCACAGGACAAGGCGGCGGTCCCGGTGGTGGACTCTTCAGCCAGTCATGCCTCCGGACCACAAGCGAGATGGCCTTGGCGCCCGAAGCGCCAGGCGGGGAAGGAGAGACCCGAAACCTCCGGCCTAGGCCCCGCCGTTGCTACAGCTACGCGGCCGGAAGTGTCCGCGATGGCACTCCAGCCAATGAGAGTAGGGAAGAGCGCCCCGCCCCCGAAGGACCCAGACAGGCCTGAGGGTGGAGACCAGAAAGGACACCAATCAGAGTCCAAGACACGCGAGCATGGCCCGCCCCAAAAGCCAATCAGAGGCCAGAGGCCGGGCAACCCGAAGACATTCAAATCAACCAGACCTCCTCCCTCCGCCCCGCCCTCCTGGATAGGAAAAGCAGGCAGCGGAAACCCAGACACCGCCAGGCCTCGAGCAAGGCCCGCCCCCCGCCCCCCGCC